CCCCAAAACCCCAAAACCCCAAAACCCCTTGAAAATTTTGGGATTTTAAGATTTTAAGAAAAATTATTGAGATATGGAGTGATAATGGAATTAGAGAGGTGAGAGGTTGGCTTGGGTGGGGTGGAGAGAGCCCTGATGGGTCATTTTGTAGTCCTTGAATAGGCCGAGGTATCTATGGAGATGACCTAGATAGTCGAACCATGTGAAAGTTCCAAAGATCATGTCGTTTATTTCGAATTGGCCGTGGAATTCAGATTGATCGTCCCAGGCTACTCTTCCAGTACCTTCTCTTAACCCATTTTTCCATTTTCCTTCAAATGTCCCTTCATTTTCAAGCGAAGCTCCTTTCTTTGTTCCAATCCTTAGTTTTCCTTTTCCATGCATTAATCCTTCCTCCCATTCTCCTTCATAGGAGGCTTCGCCTGTGCAAAGGCTAAATGTGCCTGCCCCATCGCTATTAATCAGAACGAAAGTCTTACCGAAGGATACCCTTACGCTGTCCTTTATAAATAGATCCTCAAGCATATCTGTAAATACCATCGTCAATCCTAAATACAGTATCAAGTCTGGTGAATCTTTTATTTTCTTTCTTTTTAGCTTCTTCACTAATTGGAGACTTTGCAAGTGTAAGAAGGATCTTGCGGATCCCACCTGTAGCTGCAAAATTAATCCAAGAGGTCCTCGTAACTACAGGCCCGTTGTATACTTCTGCATGATCCTCTTGTTGCACGGGGTGGTAGATGGTCTCTGGTGGCCAGGAGAACTCTTCCTTATCTACCTTATACTCTACTAGCTCTTTAAACAACAGTTTCATAAATTCTACAAGACTAAATCTGATTTGGAAGTAGTTGAAGTCCATTGTTTTGATGAAGAAGGCCAAAAAATACTCTTCAAAGATATCCCATCTCAGGACTTCTTTCATGAAGGATGCCTTCTCAATACTTTTGAGGTGGTAAATTCTGTGAGGAAGGATAGCTCTGCCCCAAAAGTGCTCAATCTTAGCTGCTTTCTGGTTTAATACCTTATACTCATTATTAACCAAAATGATGCCCTCTTTTCTCTTATGTAAAAGAGGTTCGATGGATCTCTTCTTTGTGTTGGAGAGTCTATCTTTTAGCTGAATGTCTTACTTAAACTCAGAGAGCGATTTTAGTCCGTTCTGATCCTTTAAAGCAGGATTATTACACTTAAGAGAAAGAATTCAGTCTTCTAGAGTCTCTGCAAATATTTCAGGGTCAAATCCCTGAGATTCATCAAGGAGTGATAGCTTTGTTGATGTGCTCTTTTGAGGAGTGTTGACATCAAACTCTACAAACCTCTCTTTTAATGGCCTGATCCTTCGAGGCTTTATTTTCAAATTTCCAGGTTGGCTACCTAAAAATAAGATTTGAAAATAGTACTCCTAATAGCCTTGATTTCTTCTATTTCAAGCTTAAGATTACTTTCTATTTCCTGAGATTTTATTTTCATGATGTCTTCTTTAATAGCTATATATGATTATCAACCACTGGGTCTGAAGTAAAAAGTTTCAACTATTTTTACCTTTATTTACGATTTCCAGGTAGCATTAACATACTTAGATCAGGCTTGTAGCTACTATTTTTGAAACCTTGTGGGAGAGGAAGTGCTTTGATGCTATAAAAATTTATGAAAATCTGTCTTCGATTATAACAAAAATCAAGTGATTTTATAATTACTTTCAGAATTGTGATACTTTCCTACTATTCCGACGACTACTCCTCTTTCGTTCAGTGGAAACGTTACTACCAAGTCGAGAGTAGTCATCAATCTGGGACTTATGATTCAGAGTACGTATCACAGAGAGAGCTCTGGCTTTATCAGCATTTTTCTTGATAAGACTCCCTTTTATATACCCTAATTGACTGTTTTGATTTAATGAGCTATTTCTTCCTGAAGCGACTGATTTTTCATACATTTCTTGGTGTGGGCTATCTAAATTTGCAGAATTTTCTCTCTGAACTTGATATTTCCTTGCTTTGGTCGATGAAGCTCTCTTCCATGGTGGCAAATGTATCTCCTTTGGATCTTCAGTAGAAATATTTGTAAACTCTAAAAGAAGTTTAGCTATACCAGGCTAATTTGGAAAGAAATGTTTGAAAAAATCCTTACAGGAGAAAACCTCTTTATTTCTCTAAATTTAACCCCAAAAACGCATCTCAGACTCAAATATGTGGTGAATCTGGTTAAGATATTACCTAGACCTCTACTGTTCTTTCTTGGAAATGGATAAGGTGCTCGCATAATGGAAAATTGATATTAATTTCTAAATTACCCAATATTATATAAATTAGAGGGGTTTTGGGGTTTTGGGGTTTTGGGGTTTTGGGG